TATCTGTTATTTATATATTTACTCATCCCCTATGAGATCAAAATACAATAAAATCAAAACTACCTACCGTACATTCGTTTAGTATAGTACATCGTGTCGTGGTGGCCCGGTGTGTGTTCGAAACCTACCAACGGCAAGTACCAATGTGACTTTCCGAGTTATATGTACTTTCTAAGATTATCTAGACGCCACTGACAAACGGTGAAGGAAAACATCGTGAGGAAACCTGGGCTTATAATTTATAATTATAAGTTTGAAATCGCCACCTCGCATTGAGCAAGCGTGGTGAATAATCAAACCTTCTCGTCTGAGAAGAGGCTTTGCTCAGCAGTGGGCATTCATAGGCTGTTGATATGATGTGTAGCGTACAGTAACCAAATCATCTTTGTTTTCCCTTTTCAGTAATCACCCTCATAGGATTAATATACCTGCCAACAAAATTAAAGCTCTTCGGCCAAATTCCTGGCACTTCAGGTATGGACAGAGAGGTCGATGACGAAAACACTCAAATACTCCGCAGTATGGGCAATTTTAGAAGACGGAAACCTGGCAACACTGTTAAGAATAAACACGTTTGATAGGGCAACACTAGTTTGTGAAGTTAACTTGAAGAGTATCGCTTTACCTTTATGTTTTTTTGGAGTTTTTAGAGGTAAGAGAATTGTTTTGTGTAACGCTACGGATTCACGACGGTATCTTTTGCGCCCGCCACGACGCGGAATAGGTTAGATGCCTAATTTTTATTTTAATGTCAGTCTGGTAGATTATTTTAAATCATTACACACGTATTTTTAATTTTTTTAATGAAACGAATAGTTTCGGGTATATATTGATTTGAAATGTCGCGTGACGTCACTTCTATTGTACATTTTATACGTAGAAATGACGTTTTAGCCCCCACTCCTGAACTTTTTCTCTGCAACTGCTGATTCTAAGATTAATAATAAAATATGTTATGTTTAACCGACCTAATTAGTTCGTCAGTTATGTAATGAAAAATATTAGACACGTATTTTTTTATTTTGTCGTATAATAAAACAATACTTAGATAAAACGAATCAAAGTTTAGGAGTGGGGGCTAACTACGTCATTTTACAGTATAAATTTTATTCAAGTGACATCATGCGATATTTCAAATCAATATATCTTCGAAACTATTCGTTTGCGTAAGAAAATTAAAAATACGTGTGTAATGTTTTATTTAAATAATCTACCAGACGGACATTAAACTGTCGAACACCGCGAGGACACCGGTGACCGCAACCTATTGTTCTATAATAGGCGTGTCGACAGGGTAAAAAAATCAAAAAAGTAATTAAACCGTCATTAAGATCGCACGAAAATATCAGACACGTATTTTTTGTTTTATCAAATTAACAGAAGAATACGTAGTTATTCCGCATTAAAGTTAGGGAGTGGGGGGTGTTGACGTCACACTTACGGAGAAATCGTACCTAATTGTGACGTCACGCGTCATTTTAACTCAAAATATCTGCATGTTTTTTTGGATACGAGAAAAAAGAAAAAATACGTATCGAAGATTTTTAAAATATCTAAAAGACGGACAAAAAATTAAAAAATAGTCGCCATGCCTATTGTGTCTATAATGACGGTACTCGACGAGTAATAAACATTAGTCATCTACCCTATTATTTATTTATTTATCTCAACGAAACCAACAGCTATGTAAATATAATGCAATAGCAAGCAGTGCTTTGGTTTAATCCTTTATTCGGTCGAAATATCTCATATTGTTTTTAATTACCCGGACCACATCAACGAGAAATGCCATTGCTTATAGCGATAATGCATGTTCACTGTAGGTATAGCCACGAGTCAACGCGATAATTTCACAACGGCATTTACATTGCCGTTTGGCATTCAAGTGAAACAAGTGAATTTATTTCTGCAAATAGGCTACAAGGCAGCACTTTTTCACGTCAATTTTATCAATCGAACGATGAGGCCCACATTTCCTAACTGACTACTCTGAGAAGATATGCCGAAACGAACTCAGAGATCTGTCTCTTTTTCACGTTGATATTTCAAGTGTAGCCACCCACTTTGTCGCGTTAAAACTATCGCAATATTTATCGTACGCTATAATCGACATTTATCGACCCTCACGACAGAGTATACATCCCCACCATATAGATGGTTGGCAGGCCACTACTGTGCGCTTCTCACGATGCTTTCTGCCTCGCAAACTGTGGAATGATCTGTCGTCGGCGGTATTTCCGAACCGATACGACCTTCAAACCTTCAAGAAAATAGCGTACTCCTTTTTAAAAGGCCGGTAACGCACCTGTGAGTCCTCGGGTGTTGCGGGTGTCCATGTGCGGCGCTGATCGCTTACTATCAGGTGATCCGTCTGCTCGTTTGCCTCCTATTCCGTAAAATAATAACGTTGACGTTAGTGTGGCCTGAGCATAAAGTTAGGAAATATTCCGTTAAAACATTCATTCTTGGAACCAAAGTATCGGAGTCACTAGCGGTGTTTTTTTTTTCATTTTATCGAGCCCACCATAAATAAAAGTGGTCTCATTTTTATATGTAGGTACCTACTTTCTAAGATTATTTAGACACCACTGACAAACGGTGAAAGAAAACATCGTGGGGAAACCTGGACTTATAATTTCTAATTATAAGTTTGTAATCGCCAACCCGCATTGACCGATTAATGCTCAAACCTTCTCCGTGTGAGAAGAGGCCTTTGGCCGCTTATAGGCTGTTGATATGTGTGTGTTGGTGCTCTCGTGTTAAAGGTAACTAATTTGCCTTGTCCACGACATACGTTACCAATTAGTACAATACTTGTATCAGAAAACATTTCTCGTATTATATTATATTGACTGCCTTCTTGGCCGAGTGGTCGCAAGTGCGACTGCTGAGCAAGGGGTCTCGGGTCGGGCAAAGTATTACTGGGTGTTTGCTATAAATCGTTGATTATCTGTCTTGTTCATTAGAGTAGTACCGAATAAACCATCATACTGCAAAGACGTGTGTTAATTTCTAAGAAGTCCTACAATCAATACTGAACCTTAATCAATTGAACATATGGTCCAAACGAGCCGGATTACTAGAAAAATAGATAAGGACGACCCGGCGATCGGAGAACAAAAGCCGCTTGCCTGAGCTGGTTTTTTATGTGCATTTTTTTTCGCAAGTCATCACAGTAATATATAGTAAACAAGCGATTGAAGTTAAAAACGTGTGTGTTTTAAAACTATGCTATTAAGAACATATTAGAAGCTACATCTCAATAGACGGACATTAAACTAAACATTAGGCATTAACCTTGTTGTGAGTGCTATAAAATATCATCAGAACATTTGAATTGAAAAACATAACAATGAGTGTTACGTTAACCAGTGAACAACAAAAATTAATAAACTCGTTAGAAGATATTTTTTTACTGTTACAAAAGACGCAAGGAAATTTGAAGAAATGTCCAAAGCAAAGATTAACAAGAGGTTATATTGAAACCAAACTACAAACTATTGAAGAATATTGGCGAACGTTTAATAAGACACATCAAGATTTAGTGAAATGTACACCTAAGACCAAACGAAATGAACTTCAATATTTTGAAAACGAAGATTACTTTGTTGTTGAAGATATATACTCTTGTTTAATAGGCGATTTAAGGGATATGCTTTCGATATCTTCGAAGTCATCAGACAATCCGAGTCAGAGTCAATCTTTTGATGGTTTGACGCCACCACGTGTTAAATTACCACGCATCGAGTTACCTACATTTAACGGAAGCTATGATAATTGGCCTATGTTTCGAGATATGTTCACGTCGCTGGTACATAACAACACGTCTTTATGTAAAGTTGAGAGGTTACATTACCTGAAGTTGAGCCTTGTTGGTGAACCTAAAGAATTATTGAAACATATCACTATCACCGAGGATAATTATGAACAGGCATGGAATGCACTTGTCCAAAGGTATGGAAACAAACGTTTAATAGTTTATACTCTACTCCATAAATTATTTACTCAAAAGAAAATGACCTCTCCATCAGCTGTGCAAATTAAGAATTTGTTAGATACCACCTCTCAGTGCTTAAATAATCTGAAAAATCAAGAAATACCTGTCGAGTACTGGGATCAGATAATAATTTACACACTTGTACAAAAGTTAGATGTTGATACGCACACAGCGTGGGAAGAAGATTCTTACAAGGAAAACTCAGACAAACTATCAACTTGGGAAGAACTTAAAACATTCCTGGAAACAAAATATCGGACACTGGAGATGGTTAACCCTACAACTAAAAAGGAGCAGACAACTATTAAGGCGAAGTCATTCCATTCCACATCACCGGAAGAGAAGACGGATAAATCACCAACAAAGTCATGCAGTATGTGTAACGCGGAGCACCCCTTGTTTCATTGCAAAGAATTTAGTAAGTTACAACCTCAGGAACGCAATGAGTTTATTAAGAAAAACAGGTTATGCTTCAATTGTTTGACATCAGGACATTCTGTGAAAAAATGCCGGAATCGAATGTCCTGCCGAAGATGCAACCGCCGCCATCATACATTGCTACATCAACCCAACAGCGGTCAGTCAGACAATATGAAAATGAATCAATGTCAAATAGAGGTCGTACCAAAGAAGAAGGCTGACAGTGACAATCCTGAGGTAGCACTAACTACGCACTTTGTGTCAGAGAGATCGACAGTGTTGCTTGCAACTGCATTAGTGCAAGTGACCGGTGAAGACGGACACAATACGGAGCTGCGAGCGCTAGTAGATCAGGGCTCTCAAGCAAACTTTATAAGTGAGCGAGCTGCACAGTTATTAAAGGCTAAGAGAACTCGAATAAAGGGAACTATTACTGGCGTCGGAGCAGCGCAAACAACTGTCAATCACGTCATAAGGGTCGAGCTTTGTTCGACGTGTCAGAGTAACTTCCAGCTTAGCATCAATGCTTATGTGATGCCGACACGACTGACATCACATTTGCCATCAGAAAGGTTTAATGGTTCAACGAACACCTGGCCGCACTTAAAAGGACTCACCCTGGCAGACCCGAGTTTTAATTCACCAGGGCGAGTAGACATGCTGCTAGGCGTAGAGGTTTGTGCTCAGATTTTAAAAGCTGAAATAATCAAAGGTCCACCTGGTTCTCCATGTGCCCAAAATACAAGCTTAGGTTGGATCTTATTTGGAAGAATACAAGCACAAACATCAGAAAACTCAATACTAGTGATGCATCATAAGCTTGATATCGATGAACTGTTGAAATCTATGTGGGAGGTTGAAACAGATACACAAGGAAGACTTAGCAAAGAAGAAGAAGACTGCGAGAGAATTTATGAAGATACATACACGCGAAATAGTGAAGGGCGTTACATAGTCAAACTGCCATTTAAAACGAATAACCCACAAGCACCACATGGCAATACAAAGGAAGGGGCTCTGAGTAGATTATGTCACTTGGAAAGACGTCTCATGAAAAGTGAGGACCTGAAAAGGGAATATACTAAAGCAATTAATGAATACAAAGAGATGAAACACATGGAAGAAGTGCCGAGTGCTGAAAGTAATAAGCCAGCTGTATATCTACCTCACCATGCAGTGGTGAAAAAAGAAAGCGAGACTACAAAGGTCAGACCTGTATTTGATGCCTCTCACAAGGGCTCAAATAATATAGCACTTAACGATGAGCTA